TTTTTTTTTTTTTTTTTTTTTTTTTTTTTTTTTTTTTTTTTTTTTTTTTTTTTTTTTTTTTTTTCACTTGATAAATTTGCTTTTTCGCTTAAAAACGGTGTGTGGGTGCGTTGTTTTTTCACAAAAAAAGGACTAATCTTACAAATTCAAGAAAATAGTAGTTTTTACAAAATATTAACAAATCGCTATTATTATGATTTTTCACAAAATCAAATCCTATTTTCACAAATTCTCATACATATGAGTAGGTTTCAGACATTTTTACAAAAACATAAACCTTTCACAAAAAGTCTACGTCGACTCTTAGTAATATATTAGGTAAGTAACCGAAATTGCACTTTTAAAATGAAAAATGAATATAAAAAGGCGATAAATGAATCTTAAAGGCTAATCATGCAGGTAGATAACTCTAAGAAACAGTGAACTAAATAATCTGTTATGGCATGTGGAGAATTCTTCTACCTTAAACTACAATGAATTTATAAAAATGATAAGTGGAAGAAAAAAAACTTCATGATTTTCATTAATTCCTTGAATTAAAAAAAAGCTGAATTACTTAAATTTTTTGGGTGGAGGGAACAAAAAAAGAGCTAGATATCATAATAATCTTAATAAAGAGGGGATACCTTGTTAAATTATTGTTGATACTTATTAAATGTAATTTGTTTTTCAAAACGCACGTTTCTTTGAGGTCTGAAGCAATAAATTGTTTCACTCTGGCAAGGAAACACTCTGTGGTGATTAGAGAATATTCCTTCTAAAAGCCCATTGTTCAGATACTATATTTTTCTGTATGATTGGTAAACAACGGATAAGCCGACTCTCCTGTGTAGGGGGCAGGGAACTGTTCTTGCATCAGAAAGGTCCTGGGTTCGAATCCCAGGCAAGGCATGGATGTTTCTTTCTCACGGTGTGTGTTCTATGTCCTTTCTCCTTTGTGTGTGAATGTGACCCACCCCATGAACGGGTTGTGGTTGTGTGAATAGCGTGGCAGAAGTCGAATTCCTGATCATAGATGGCGCCACTGAAAAACAGGAACAATCGCACCCCCACTGCCTAAACAGGCATACGACAAGAACAACGGATCTATGTGAAGAAGATTTTTCCTAAACGCTGTGGAGTGATTCCTTATGAATACTACTCTAAATTGCTACACTTAAACGAATCGATGCATTCACTGAACGTTTAAAAAGAGCTGGAATAGTAAAAAATAAGCACCATCAGAAAATTCTTGATAAATAAATAAAAAATTCAGACTATTTCACGTAACGTGACCGTAATAAAATTATGTAATGTTATTTTAGAACGCATACCAAAAATCAGTTCAAGAATTTGTCAATAGGTTTTGGTTACCACGAAAGCCAACAATCGATTCTTAGGAAACATCTGCTGTTAAAGTAAACAATCGATTGTTACAGAACATCTTTTACTGTTAAAGTAAACGATTGATCCTTGCAAAACATTTTATCTTAAAAGTTCAAAAATTGATTCCTGCGAAGCATCTTCTGTTAAAGTAAACAATCGATTCTTGCCAAACATGTTCTACTGTTAAAGTAAACAATCGATTGTTACAGAACATCTTCTACTGTTAAAGTAAGCAATTGATCCTTACAAACATTTCATGTTAAGAGTTCGAAAATCGATTCGTACGAAGCATCTTCCGTTAAAGTAAACAATCGATTCTTACCAAACATGTTCTACTGTTAAAGCAAACAATCGATTCTTGCAAAACATCTTCTGTAATGAGGTCAGTGTGTTTTTAATAAATAAAAATTTAACTATTTTTTTTTAAAAAATGTTAAGTAATAAGTCATTCAAAAATTAGTATAAATTGATAAAACGTGCAAAAAGAAAGTTAGATTTAGGAATCAAAACTTAAAATTTCCCTTACCATTGATGTTGGGTCCAGTGACGAATACCCAAAAATCGATGGTTTTTTCTTTTCCCAGCTGCTCATAATCCCAGGGCTCTTTGATCTTAACATCACCAGATGAATCCACATCAACCCATTTAATAGGGTTCTCCATCTTGTAAGTTTCTTGGGGATGTTTCTTATCCAACTGAAACATCACTTTTCCTGGTTTGCTGCCGTCAGTCTCCTTATACTCGTAACTTTTCGTGGGTCTCACGCTTCTCTTCTGACGGGACAGCAACTGAATATCGTTGCTGTCGACATTTTCACTTTCCAGTGGTAATTCCTCACTATACACTTCGATATACACCGAAAAGGGAGCACTAATCCTCGGTGGTTTCGCTGTATCCTGGGTGCGCACATTCAACTTGTAGGTCTTCAACTCGGGTGCCGCGATCAAAAGAATTTGACCCGTCTTCGGGATAATGGCAAACACCGGGTGCCGGGACACTAAATGATACACGGGTTTATCACCATCCGCATCGTAAGCACTCACGTTTCCGACGATGGAATACAGCTCCGTGTCTTCCGGGATCCGGAATTCATAGATGGTCCTCTCCGGAACCGGAGCGTTGTCGTTCACGTTGTTCACCTGGATGGTCACTTGGGCGTCGGCGCTGTTGGCTTCCTGGACATCGGTGGCCCTGATGACTAGGTCGTACACTTCCTGCCTTTCTCTGTCCAGGACGCGGTTCGTCCGGATGACGATACTGGAGGAGAGGTTGTTGATTGGAAGTTGGACAATACTGAAGGCGTCCTCCTCGTTTCCTGACACGAAAGTGTAAATGATTGGATGGTACGGATCCGAAGTTGCAAACATCCTATCCAGGCCTTCGACCACCGTGCCCGCCGGTTCGTTCTCATAGATTTGCCCGCTGTAGCTATCTTGAGAAAACCTCACGAGCCGATTCCTATCGACGACGTGGATCACTATCATCTGTTCTTTCGTGCCATTCTGTGCCTCTTGTCTGACGACCAGAGTCAAGGGTGGAGAGTCGATCAGGTGGCTGAGTTCGCTGGTCGGCATCAGAAGTCCGTCACTCATGACTGCAAAAAGACTAGAAAATTCGTTCTCCAGCAGGCTGAAAGCTTGTCCCCAGTAATCTAGCCTGGTGATTCCATATCCGGGATAAGCGTCGTGGGGAACAGCAACCCGCAGGACATCGGCAAGACAACTCGAAGACAAGAGACAACAGCATACCGCTAAAATTCTGATGAGTCGCTTGGACCCCGCCATCCTGAAGAGTCAGCTTTTACATGCAAATGATTTTTTGTCGGGCAGCTCCTGCAATATGAAAAGAAGAAACATGTTTTATTTCATATTTTAATAAATTTACAACTAATAGCAATGACGAATATAGGCGATGGAATAGATAGAACACTGAATGGAACTAAGAGACATTTTGCGTAAGAGAAATTTTTAAGTAAATTAAACTTAAAGTTTGCAAGTAAGCAACATTGTGCTTTGCCTTTATGTCTTGTCTAATTGGCCAAAACTAGAAATTTTTAAGACTCATTTAAACTGTTCATGTGCACACTTGGGCACTTCAATTTGCTTCTAAAAAACAGGTTTTATTAGGTTACTTTTTGACAGTTTGTTGCCAACGTAAACTAAGATTGGCGGTCCATCCATTCAAAACACACTCAGAAATTGTCACTTAAATCCACGAAGATCTTCGAAATTTTATGATAATGCAAAATAAATTAATGCTGATTAGTTGAATAAGACTAAAATAAGCTTTTAACCTGAGAAATCTCATTTCTAGACGCGAATCAAAAGAGTTTTTTTTTTTTTTTTTTTTTTTTTTGCTTTTNTTTTTTTTTTTTGTACGAGAAGACAATTGGTCTGCAGCCTTATTCTTACTTTATTCAATCTCTCTGAGGGTTTCAATTTTGAAACATCATAAACAGAGTTCAAAATTGATCAAAACACTGTTACGGCTATCAAACTATTCAAATTCAATTGCTACATTATTTACCCATTAATATGTTTAACTTATTCATAAATCACAATTATTTAATATTCGTGTCACTACAATATTCGCTCTATTAAAAAAAAATTGACTTTAAAAGTTAAGAAAAATTATATATAAATGTTTTATACCTACAATTTTTTTTCCATTTAAATAATCGATTATTATTATTATTATTTATATATTTTCAAACCATTGATAGGTTTCATTTGAGACTGTGATGCAAAAAAAATTAGTAAAAAATTTTATAACAAAAAAAGGTCGAAACCATTAAATTTCTACAAAAGAAAATATGTCACCCTTTCTTTTTCCGTAAGAATTATGAATATTAATCAATCATCCAAAGTGGCAGCAACTCCAGTCTTCTATCAAAAGAGAGCATCAATTTAAGGGTTAAGGTCAATAAGATTTTTAACTCTAGCTATTATAATTATTTTTAATATGAAAGTACATTTTTTAACAGATAAAAATTTGAATCGGGGGAAAATATTTTAGGAAGTAATACGAAAGTCAAACAATTTTTAACAAAGAAATTTCATGGCATTAAGATATTTAAAAAAAATAATAAAAATTGAATATTTTTTGCCGCTCGTAAAAATAAAATTAAGATATTTTGCTGGAAACATATAATTTTTACGACAGCATTATTTCCGCTTACATTTGCATAAAAAAATGAATGTTAAATAGGGATTTCGATTTTTATCTTAGGGATAGTACATAAAAATTATTTGTAAATGATGATCCCCCCCACGCATTTTTATTACACAGATAAACTAAATGATAAAATCCATTTTTCACACATAAAATCCAGATACTTTGTCTTAAACATAAAATTAATAAAAGTTATGAAGCATAAAGGTATTGTTTGTCTGTAAAATAATTTTTATTATTTTAGTAATAGTATTTAACACTAGATAGCCCAAGGATGTCATTTTGACTGCTTTTTAATTTCAATTAGAAAAATAATGATGTATATAATGACACAATTTCTTAGAATTTTGTGACTTTTTGTGCAACATAAAAATTTTTTATTGTTGATATTTACTAATAGCTTGTTATATAAATGAAAATAACATCAAAAATATTAAAAATTAGCTTTAAACAAATTTCTTTATACATTAGTTCATTATTTTAACCCTTTGACGCAGGTGGGGCACCGGAGTCCAGTTTATATTTTTTTTCTGACTCTCTAATTACAAGCAGAAATATATTTTGATATTTTTTTATTATAAAAGACAGTCTAATAGTTAAAAAAAATCTATTAGATTATCGGAATTATATTTGTATGAAAATATAAAATCCAAAAGAAGAAGTTTTAAAAAAAATTCATTCATATTCAAAAATTTGTCAATAGTTGATTTTGTAAATTAAAGAATTTTCAATGATGAATAACTGTTTCTGTTAGATTTAAATAATTGCAAATTTGAAAATGAGCCGTGTGTTTGCCGTTAATGCAGAAAAAGAGACCTGTGGTTCATGCTGTATTTCATAAATAGAAATTATTAAAGTGCTAAATACAGTATACTCTCGATATCTCGAACTTCTATATTTCGAAAACCTTGTTATGTCAACAAAAAAATATTTTTCCCTTTGGCATTACATATCCAAACAATGTTAATTTGAATTCCTATGTCGAACAGTTTCGTTTCAAAACCGTGTCATGTCGAATATTTCGTGAAACAGAACAGAAAAAATCACAAAATACGTTTATTGTAAACCAATTATTTTCTATTTAATGTATAATTATTTTTGTCTCACTTTCAAAAATTAAATTACCATTACTGTATTTAGACTTATAGTCAACTATCATTATATATATATATATATATTTATTAGTAGTTGTTTTTACATTTCATGACTCTACTTTCTAGAGAACTATCTTAGAATATATTTTTCTACTTTTTTAGAACATATTTAGTTCTGAAAATACATTCAGTTCTTCTCTAAAACTCGCTATCTCGAAATTTTTTTAGAATCATTTGTAGAGATATCGAGAGTATACTGTTATATGTAATATTTTTCACTTATTTTGAGTACAAAATAATGAAACAATTATGAAAAATATGTTTAATAAACTTCAGCGTCAAAAGGTTGAGGATAAATATATTTAATTCAACCAGCCGTCATACTTAACTGTTGCTTGGGGCTGTAAAAAAAACATATCGCCACAGTATCTATATTAGGTACCTACAGTAGCATGGTATCTATGTCACCGTGAATGACCGAAATAAAGAGAATGTCGACTTTCGCCGGTGAATGTCAACAATCACATGCAACTCCAATTCAAAATATTAGAATAATGATAAATAAAGCACATAGTGGTTTGAGATATGCATTTATTTTGGTAAAAATGAATACCTGAGAATTTTGAAGTGTGTTATCACATTCTACATGTTTTGTAGATGAACATAACATAAATAAATTGTTATGATATTGCAAAAGTTTTTACAATGAATTTCTTCTAAAAATTCAAAAAATTTGAATAATTTTCACAGTGGTTCAAAAAATTAGAATAACATGAACAAAAATAGCATAATTCATTTAAATGAAATCTGCATGAATAGTTAATACTTAGTGGCATCTCCCTTAGCTTTAATAACGTCACGCAAACGATTTTGCATACGATGCACTTCTTTTTTGCAGTCATCTTTGCTGATAGTTGCCCAAACGGATTTCACGCTTTCTATGAGTTCATTTTTGTCCTTTGGAGCTAAATCCTGAAGGCGTTTCTTCATTAAACCCCATATATTCTCGATGGGGTTCAAATCGGGTGAATTGGCCAGCCAAGGAAGTAATTTGACTTTATTGTTAGTAAGCCAAGTAGTGGTGGCGTTTAACGTGTGGCAAGATGCGGAGTCTTGTTGGAAGATAGAGTCATCCTCAAATAGATCTTCCGATGACGGAATCATAAAATGTTCAAGTACCTCCTTGTATACTTCAGAATTTACCCTTCCTTTCAAAATGCACAGCTTTCCTAAGCCCTCAGCACCCATACACCCCCAAATCATTACAGAAGTGCTAAACTTCACTGAGCGTTTCAAGCAATCTGTGGTAAAAGCTTCTTGCTTACAACGCCAAACACGGACACCCTGGTGACCGTGGGAAACGCAAAACATCGATTCATCGCTAAAAAGTACGTTATTCCAGTCCTGAATACCCCATTGCAATCTGTCTTTGCACCACCTCACTCTGGCCCGTTTTTGCTTGCGTGTAAGTAGCGGCTTTTTCTTGGGCACACGTGATTGAAAATCAAGTTCATGGAGTCGTCGTAGTGTGGTAGATGTTGAGGCATCCACTCCTTGTTCTCTCCACTTTCTACTTATGAATCTCAAGCTCTTGAAGCGATTTTTAGTGACGACACGTTTCAGCATTCTGTCTTGTCTCAGTGTGGTTATTCGTTTACGACCACTATTTGAGCGATTATTTTTAAAACTTTGATTTGTAGAATAATCTTTTAAAATTTTACTTACAGTTCCTTGAGANTAATGTATAATTATTTTTGTCTCACTTTCAAAAATTAAATTACCATTACTGTATTTAGACTTATAGTCAACTATCATTATATATATATATATATATATTTATTAGTAGTTGTTTTTACATTTCATGACTCTACTTTCTAGAGAACTATCTTAGAATATATTTTTCTACTCTTTTAGAACATATTTAGTTCTGAAAATATATTCAGTTCTTCTCTTAAACTCTCTACCTCGAAATTTTGCAATATTTTTCGCTTATTTTGAATTCTAATTATTCGTTGATATTATTATACGAGGGTTGTAAATTAAATAGTGGCAACTTAGCCGTGAAATTCACAGATGGGCGGGCATGCGTAAATAGGGTATGGGTGCGGTGAGGTGGCGCTGTTGTCGATGTGTGGAGTGCAAAAAACAGTCGATTTGCTAGTTGTTGCGTGGCGTTAAAGTGAGGAGTTTCGTTTCCATCGCTCTAAAGCATGTTGTGAAAAGGCTTAATGACGAAAAAAGACGAGATGCTTAAACCCATCGTGTTACTGTCCTATACGGTAAAACATTTGCTCCACAGGCTTCCACTAATCCTCAATAGCATTCTGTTGCATTTTTGCCACGGGCAACCTCGATTGTAAGCCACGACCGCTGATCATCTTTTGAAAACATGCTTTAGAGCGATGGAAACGAAACTCCTCACTTTAACGCCACACAACAACTACCCTTCTAAGCAAATCGACCTTTTTTTGCACTCTACACATCGACAACAGCGCCACCTCACCGCTCTCGCATCCAATTTGCGCATGCCCGCCCTTCTGTGAGTTTCAAGGTTAAGTTGCCACTAT